TATGAAGCTTGCGGAGAATTATATAGGAGTTAACCAAGATGAACCTACATTAAAGATAGGTTTCTGGTTTCAGAACCATGTTGTACCGTTAGTTCAACCTCACTTCCTTCAGGTCCCCTACAAAGATGGAACATATGATTCTCAAATATGCATGAATAGGATTGTTAATTAGCTTGCTGGCAATTCCTCTAATAGTTTAATACTACCATAAAAGGTAAAATAAATAATAAAAAATAAAGCATAATAGGGAGACATAATTTGCCTTCTACCGGACAAACTTATTTCAAGCTTCTACTCAATATTGAAGTGAAAATTGCATTAAACTTCATAACGTTTATATCTAAGATATGTTTAATTCAAAGAGCACAACATAGCTTTCTGAAATTGTTATGCAATTTACTACTTGTGTTTATTCATATGATGCATGATTTAGTTATAGAAGTTTCGTATTTGTGGATTTTATATTCAACAACGGTGTATTTCATCTCATTTGTTGTATGGGCCTCAGTATCCGACGTTAATAAGGCTTGTGAGCGGAAGCTGGAAGTTGCGGAATGAAAATGTGGTAGATGTGTGGCCGTACTATGTTGCATAGAAAACCGAACGAGTTCTTTCAGTCAGAATAATGGGTCGTGCATGTTATGATTGAGAGAAGGCAGAATGAAATGGTTTGGTCAAGCTGGCCGTAGAGGTGCATCGACACCAGTGAGGACCTCTCTGACCAGTTGGAGTAGACAGGAGATAGGCAGACCGTGTAAGATGGGGGTGATCAGTTGCACTTGGTGGTCTTGAACCTCTCTGAGGTCTTGACAATCACCTCTAGATAAGAGTTCCAGGGGATGCCGGATTAGAGTAGTAAAGTCTTCGTAGAGGTTGTGTCTGATTGTTGTTGGGGTTCAAACTCCCCTAGGTTTGTTTTTATTCTTCACCTCACACTATACGTCACTATTTTTCCAGGGTCCTCTCAGAAATAGTCCCCAAGTCCTTGTGGTAGACTGTACAGGTAAGCTCTAATTAATATTGCCTCCCCTACCCTGACATACTATCCCGTGATTGGCACATAAGGAGAGATGAAACTTACCGCAAGTGCTCTCCAGCATCATATATGCTCATGCTTTCTGTACTAATATCATCAATCGCAAGGATAACATCCCCAGATGAAATGTCAGCCCTGTTTGCAGGACCTCCTGGGGATGCTGAGATAACCACTAGTCCGGGGGTTGCATCATTTCTTCCAGTGGGATAGCCAATTGAAATCCCTACTCCTGTCAGTGCACTTTGAGTTCCTGACTGCCTTTTAACACCATAATTAAAAAACTCTCCTTAGTGGGAGCATCTTAAAGCATGTCTCTACAAAATCATAGTATAATCATCAATCGCCGTCATTATCAGCATCTTAATCCCAACTGGTTGGGGTCAGTGACTAAATTTGCAGCGCCAAACATTTATAAAAATAAACTACCCAACAAATCTAAGCAAAAAAAAGTGGCAATGTATTGTGTCGGATGCCCTTATTGTCGCAATCTTCATAAGAAGTAGTGAGATGAAAATTCTAAAACCTTATTAACTTATTATCATATGCTAAACCCACATGTATGGAAAATATCATGAGACAACAATGAGTTGATATTTTTTGCTTTTGGAATTTTCATTACATGCAAACCATGGAGGCATGGAGCATAAAAGGTAGATGATTAATGTGTGTTATATCTGAGCTACAAATATGTTAGGACACTTGAGCCATACCTTCAAACTGTTGAACTTTTCAGGCTCCAGAAACCGGGTGAAAGGGTCATCCAAAGTGGAGACCATCTTCCGTATTGCTGCATCTGTAAGCACGGAAATATTACTTTTAAGCAAAGAGAAAATACTCGACAATCAAAAATTCTAGTTTTTACTTTTTACATGGACACTATATATAACTCCCAAGAAAATGACTGCTTAAAGCCTTCAGCAATATGTAACAGTCCATTGGGCCAAAAGATCAAGGCTTGCTAATAGGCCATTAAATTTTATCAATCAATTTATCATGGCATGTGTATGCTGATGAACAACCATAAAGAAGGAAAAACGTACATGTCTCTTCTCGATTGTTCATTGGTTCATTTTGAAGAGCATTTTCCCGATATCTAAACCAATTCTGCCCATTGAAGGTTTTGTCAACATATGCACGGTCAATTGTTTTCCATGCCTCTAAGAAGAGCTGATTTTCTTCACTAAGAGCCACTGCAAGATGTGATGAAATAAGAAATTTAGGAATCGTAACTAATTCATACAATTATAATTACAATTAAAAACAACACAGTAGGGTCCCCCAAGTAGGATCTGGGAGGGAAGGTGTATGCGTACCTTACCCCTACCTATAAATATAAAGGAAATTTTTGAAGACCCTTAGCTCAAAAAAGACATGGAAAGCAATCAAATACAGGGGTGTAAAAAAAGAATAACAATAAGCATACTTACAGGTAAGAGTGCTGTTAACAGCAGTACTGACTGCCATTACTGCCAAGACCCCAACAGCAACCCGTGCAAACAGCTTAGGAACCACACTAAATTTTTCAGAATCTCTTGCAAATCTCCAGAGATTGTTTGTGAACTTCCTTGGGTCAAGAATGCAACTATTTTTCATTAAGAAGTTACTATATACTAGGGTGAATGTTTTACTAAATCTCTGAACTGGTCGAAGATATAATCTATGCCCACTATTATGGGCATAATGGCAAAACCTATAGCAACTCGTAGTGTCGACCCAATCAAAACTCTTTTTACTCGGAGGATTACACAATCTAGCCTCAAGGTCCCTGTTATAGGAAGACTCCCACAGCTTCACCTGCAAAGGTTCAAACTCTATTTACACTTTGAACAAGGCAGCAAAGATCTCTCATTGAAATCTGTCAAATCGACCTTAATCCTGTGAATTAGCAATCTAAAGGTAATCTTTTCGTTGTTATCGAATAAAAATTGTTAACTTTTCTGATCTATACGGAAAAATTCCACTAGCGAGGGATAAAATTCAATGAAATTAACTGGATTGGGAATTCAAAACAAAAATGAAAATGTGCAGCAATTTAGTTAAGAGCACCTGAGAAGCCGCAGTAGAAATTCGCCTTGGCGCTTTGATGTTGATGATCAATGGAGACCGACGAGATGAAGGTGAAGAAGAGCTTCCGAGAAGCACTTCCATTGGAGCAAATTGATTCAACTCCCTCTTGTTTGACACAAATTTTTACCCGAAGTGTTTGATTGAACTCCCGTTGCATTATAAGGAGAAGCTTTTTTTTCTTTTTCCAATAAATACTCTCCTCTCTTTCAAATTTATACAGGATTTATACAGGTTTTGTTTTTACACCTAAACTCATTCGGAGTCATGTCGTTCGATAACGGGACGATACCATGTCATACTAATGTCAGATCATTTCGTAATACTTTGACGTTCTGAAAATAATTTTGTTTGTAACAAACCGCCGACGTAATTAAAAAAATTGGTGCACAAATATTTTTATGCATTCTTAATTTCTTACTCAACAAGTGTATTGTTTGGTTACAAGTTTTGAAAAAAATTTAGTCATAGTTCGCATTTTCAACAAATAAAATTATAATCTGAGTTGTGCTTCGAGGTAATAAAATATTATAAAAACATAAATTTAAGTATGTGAAAGTCACATCAAATAATATCACCTAAACTTACTAAAAATTAACAAACGAAAATGTATAATTAATTTAATATTTTAGTGGTAACAGTTTGGTTCGGTATTTTCGATGTTTATTTTTTTCAGAAACCCATCTCGTACAATTTTGAAAATGGTTCGATTCAGGTCAAAATATGGAGTATAATTTACTAGAATCATTTGAAAACTCATTTTTCAGTTCAGAACAATGTCGGTCTTGTTCAGAACAATGTCGGACCAGTACCTTTGCCCACCCCTAACAATTTAATTTTAAAGAGCTTCGATGGACACTCACTTGATTGAGATTACCGTCATTACGGTGTGATTATAGTATGACTGGATTTTTCAATGTTTTGAAAATCGGATCAGACGTCGACTCGAACGAGAGAGTGTGTCAAGAGCTAATCAGTCAAACCAGTCAACTTCGAGGTCAACCATTTTGTTAAAAAGGTAGTGATTTTGAATTTTAAAAGATCATAAATATAAAGAGTCAAAGATAATGACACCAACTATGAAAAATAAAATTTTTATTATTCATACAATATCAGACTACTAGCAACTCTTTTGAAAAATGCTCGTGATAGTAATAAATATAATAACAATAACAGTAATAAAACAATCTTTAAGAAAATAGAGAATGAGATACTCTATAAATGTTAAGATGAAGTAGCTAGATAAATAAGTAGTTGACATTTCCCGTATATAACTTTGAATAGTTCGGTCTGTGATACTCAGTTTTAAATTCGTGTATTACTGTCCTGTCCTATTTAATATCGGTTCTGTTTTATATCGGGATGGATATAACTAATTCCATTTAAAAACACTATAAACGGTTCGATAACATTACCGTCTGATACCACGTTAGTTCTTTTTTTTTGCTTTCCCCCACAAATAGAAGTTTTAGTTAAAATGGATGAGATGCTATTGCTTGTATTCATTATGGAGTATTTAACTTTTGCGTTTAGGGAGAGATCTAGGTACCAACTCAGCAATTCAAGTTTAAAGGTTCGTGTTTAGTACACAAAATTGATAGAATTTGAAATAAATTGAGAGTTGAAATTTTACGGAATTGATTTGGATAAATTGAATTCTACAATTCTTATTCATTTTTGGCACTACCAATTCCAAATTCATATATTTTTATATTACCAGATAGCAGAATTTAACTTGTTGTAATTTAAATTGTTGCTAAATTATTGTCTCTAATTCTAATTTCATAGTTTAAATTTCATATTTTAAACAGAGGTGATCATCCCTTCCATTTATGTACCAAAAAAATTTCATTCACCTCATTTAATTTTAGCAAAACCTTGATTAGCCGTTTTGCAACGAATTGATTTTCAAAATATTTTCAACATAAATTACACTTAAAACATTGATTACAATTTATTAACCCCATAATTCCCTCCCCTGCTATATAACACCACTAGCAAACCACTCAAATTTCATCAAAATTAAACCCCAAAAAAAAAGAAATCATCAACTTCCAAACATGGTATCCAACGTTTGGCGCACAATCCTCATTCTGGCAGCAATCGCAATCCCGTCTTTCGCGCAGACCCCGACGGTGACATTCACCAACCGGATTGTCCCCGACACCCCGCAGCCGCCGGACGTGAAAGTCAGCTGTTTGGCCGCCGGCGGGTTATCGTCGCCGGCCTCGTTCGACTTACTCCCAGGCCGAACGGAGTGGTTCCAGCCGGAGACGATGGACGCCGTCTACCAGTGCTCGGTGGTTTGGGGCCGTTTCTTCGTCGCCGTCAAGGGCTTCGATGCTGCGAGGGACGGCCGTCATGCCGCCGTCAGTTGGGTGCTTGATAAACGCGGGATTTCTGTGAGTTATGATCGGGAGAATTGGGAGTTGGTTAAACCGTGGCACACCAAATAGGGCCTGGATTTTTTTTTCTCATAAATTTGTACATGCACATGATATTATATCTATGTGTGTACAAATTTTATGCGAATTTTATATTAAAATGTTTTGCTATCAATTTGAGAGTTTTTTTTCTTCATTTTTTTGATCAAAATTGAAAATTTTGATTTAATACATGCTCAAATATAGTCCTCATGCGGACTGAGTGGCTAGTGGTTGGATCGTTTTAACAATGATTTTAATCGACATGATGTAATATTTATGGCATTCGTGGAATGTGGAATTTTAATACTCTCTTTATCCCTTTATTATTGTGTATCATTGTTATTGTATGTTGAATATTTTTTCGTTAACAATTTAAATTGTATATTTCAGATTTTAATTTCAATAAAATTATATGAGAATTGGGGTAAAATTAAAAAATAAATTTAGATTTTAAAAATACATCAAAAAGTTCTATGAAGCAAAAAGTGACATAAATTTATGACTTTATTAAATGAGTAATGAAAATAAAGAAGGAAAGTGAATAAAGTTTGAAATTGCAAATAATAAACAAAAAATTTAATTTGGGACGAATATAGTAGAATACTCCCACTGTTGCATAAACATTACCATTTATATGGTTAAATTAGACTCTTTTTCATCGTATATTTTTATTGATAAATTGAAGAAAAAAACAGTCAATATCATAAACTAAAATTTAAACCTTTTTTAACGCATTTTTTATCCATCACATATTTTCATCATCAAAACTAAATTCTTTTTCATCAAATATTTAGTTTTTATTCATCACATGTTTTCATATAAATCCACTGTTTTTTCAAAGTGGAAATTTTTAATTTATGAAAAGGAAGGAGTATCTTTCTTTTCATTTCTTTGTGTTAGGAGTGTCGAGAGACCGGAATCAGAAATTAATCCCATTAAATTTTGTAGTGCTAGACCCAAGAAGCCAAGAGAGAAATCTAGAAATATTGAAAGAAAATTGTAATTGGTAACTGAGAGGAGAGAGGCACAGTTTTGGACTTTTGGCAACTAAGGGGCCGTTTGGCAATTGCTGAACCAGTAAGAGCTGAATCAATAAGAGGTCTGAATGGGTAAGAGACTCTGAACCAGTAAGTGCTGAATCATTAAGAGCTGTTTGGCTGTATCTCTGAATGACTGTGCAGAATGACTATTTTACCCCTCTGAACTATTATGTGCTGAATGAATGTATTTGTTTGGACAGAGTTCTGAATAGTGTATAGATTAATTGATAGTTGTAAAAAGGAAAATACAAAATGTCATAGAGAATCCAAATTACACATAAATCCTTTAAAATCCATGGAAACATACGAGAATTCAAAAAACAAAATAACACAACATACGAAATCCAAATACAAATTGCACAACTCAGCATACAACTTTGAATTGAATCATTTCAAAGCAACTAATTAGCAATCTGGCCACGTAAAGAATTCATAAACTCAATCCCTTGTGAATCCCACTCTATGTCTTGAACTATAAGGCCATCGTTTTCTCCAGTTTGCATTTCATGAAACATCATGTTCTCATCATACTCCATAAAAAACTGATCATAAATATTGCATTTCCTTATAAAATTGTGGATTGCGAAACAAGCAATCACGATGTCTCTTTGTATTGGAAAATAAAAAGGAGCCATTTGCTTCAAAATTGGGAATCTTGCCTTTAGAACACCATATGCACGTTCAATGACATTTCTAAGTTGTGCGTGAGCATGATTGAATCTTTCTTCCTTAGTTAAAGCACGTTGTCGTCGAAAATCGGCTAACCAATACCTCGTACCACGGTAGGGAGTCATGAATCCACGAGTGTTGGTGTACGCAGCGTCACAAAGGTAATACTTATCTCTATCAATATCAAAACTATCATATAAAAAACAAATATTGTATGAGATGAACATTGAAGAATGGTTAAAAACCTGGTGGCGGGAAAGGAAAACCAGAATTTGGGTTGAATGCAACTTCTCTTAAAACTCGTGAATCATGTGCAATGCCCTCCCATCCGGCCCATACGAATGTGAATATCATATCAAAGTCACAAATTGCTAAAACATTTTGAAAGCATTCACCTTTTCCTCTTCCCCTATAACGAGTCTGTTGATCAACAGGCACAATCGCATGTATAAGAGTTCCATCTAAGGCACCTATTGCTCCAGGAAATATTTCTTTTAGCCTTCTATGTCGATCGGAGTCATTTGCGCTGACATTAGAAGATGTTGGGACTATAACTTCTCTTGCGAAATTCATCATTGCCTTTAGGACCTCATGAAAACATCTATGAATTGTTTCTGTTGAGTGTTGAAACCTTCGTTTAACCACTCGAAAACGTTGATTATGTCCAATGACCATACAAAACATTGCCAACTTTTCTTCCAAGCTTATTGACCTACTACTTTACAACCAATATTTTTGTTTAAAATGATTGCACAATAGTATAAATGCATCACGTGAAAGACGCATCATCTCATGACATTGTGTAGAAGTACCATGCAATAATTCTTGCGTGTATTCATGACCGGTTAATGCTGAATTCAAGTCTCTTATCCTTCCCAAATTTTTTCTCGGGGCTAATGAAACCCAATACCAACAAAGGATCATGAAAACTATAATCTCATCTTCCGAATCCATAAGGTACCTATCATAACATAAATAAACAACTATATCATCCACATTAACATAGCATCCAAAACATAACATCCATAACATATTGTCCAAAACATAGCATCCAAAACATAACATTCATAACATATTGTCCAAAACATAACATCCAAAACATAACATCAAAAACGTAACATCAAAAACGTAACATCCAAAACATAAAATCCAAAACATAACATCCATAACATAACACCTAACCAAAAAACAATCAAAGCACAAACTTAGTTAAACAATCCATACTTCGCTCCCGCATTCTTAACCCATTTTTCACAATTTTGTGGCTTAAGACGTGCCCACAGTTTCCGAAGATCGGCACTCTCACCAAAAAGCAAAAACGCTGTTTCGTATTTCGCATCCGACTCATCCCAACCCAATGTCTCCAACTTCTCCAAGCATGCATCCATATCATCAGAAAGTGTGTGTTTCTCAATCATCATCTTTGCCAACTTGCTAATATCTTCACCAACTTCTATAAGCTTTGACTCTAATGTAGCCTTATGTTTTCGTTTCTCTCCTTTTTCTTTTTTTTGGGGTCGAATACTTGACTCCTGATTAACACCTTTACCTGGGGAATCCATTTGAGTGCATTCAACGTCCACAACATCCATATCATCCAACTTGTGCTCATACACTTCCTCAGAAGGATGAGGGAGCGTAGAACTTGGCCCCCAACTAGCAAACCCATTTGAAGTAGACCCCTCATACAATTGACAACAAAGCTCGGGGTAAGCAAGTGGCACACTTCTCAAAGCTTCTACATACTTGTTACACTGTGTGAAGAAAAATTTTAAAATACTATAAAATTAAATAAATATACCAAAAGTAATTATTAGCTTAAAAGAGATACCTTCATCTCAATTTGCCACTCTTCTTCTGACAAGTTAAAAGTGTTTGTAAGTGAATCATAGACATTCCCGGTTTTGTTTTTAAGCTTTAACCAAGCTGCAAATTTTCCTTTAAGAAAATCAAAATGATTCTTCATTTGACGTTGATCCACTATGAAATTGTGTTGTGTTTTCAATTTTTCAGCTACACTTTTCCATGACGATTGTTTAAGACTGCTTCCTTCACGTCCATTGATGGTTATTTCATGAATACATGCTTCAAGAAAGGTTTTTTCAACACCTTCTAGCTTCCAATTAATCTGCATCCTTTTTTGTGCCATTTTCTTTGGATATTGGTTCCTAAAAATTATGGATTTAAAGCACCTCAATGAACATGTATCTTTTCATACCGATATCAAATCCAATATTTCTAATACACAAACTAACATACAACAAGCCAAAACATGTACATATTTTCACATACAACAATGTTGTAATGCCTTGAATCTGACACGTTACAACAATGTTGTAATGCCTTGATGTATTGGGTTCTTAATTATCTGTCAATTTTGTAATTTTGGACCCAATTTTGTTAGAGTTTAGCCAAGCACTATTGTCAATTTCCGCATAACAAAAACCAATACAACAATCGGATGGGGACAAGGACAATTTCAACATTCAACAAAAACAATGAATAACAATCAACATACAACAATCAACAATACTCTAACAATCAATAACAATCAACATACAACAAACCAATAAAAACTTCAAATAACTAATACTAACAAAAAACGTACCTGGCAGAGGAGGGAGGAAGCATCGCAGAGGAAAAGAGGGGGGAGGCGGGTGCAGAGATGCGGAGGGAAGAAGGTGATGGATGGGGTGGCGCCGGCAGTGGTGCGAAGGAGCGGAAAATGAAAGGGAAGAGAGAAGGAGAGGAGAGAAGGTCAGAGGGTGCAGAGGAGGAGGGGGATGACCGAGGGAGGGGGACGGATGGGGCGATGGGTGTAGGGTTGTGGAGGAGAGGAAAAAGTAAAGAGAAGAGAGGATGAGAGGAGAGGAAATCGGAAATTGCAGAGGGGGAGAGCGATGCGATGGCGAGCAGATCCGAGAAGAGAAGAAGAAAAGACGAAGCAAAATCGGATTAGGGATTGAGGGTAGCGGAGTCTTTATTTTTATTCAGAGACGGTACATAACTGAATGGGGCAGTGCTATATGGTATCATTCAGAGGTGTCAATATTTTCAACCAAACAACACAGCCTCTTAATCGGTCAGATGAAGCCTCTTAATGAATCATTCAGAGCTTTGCCAAACAGCCCCTAAGGTGATACGGTGCAGTTTGTTGAGTGGCGCGTGACAAAAGAAAAGATACTGCTGATGGAACGAATGAACAAGTGGAATCCCCCGAGGATTGGATATTTAAAATGCAATGTGGATGCGAGTTTTAATCTGTCCACTGGTGCCGTAGAGGTGGGTACGGTGCTTCGGGATGATCACTTTAGATTTGTTCGAGGGGCACATCAGGGGCTTGGCCACGTGGATAATGCTTTGCTAATAGAGACTATGGGAATATGAGAGGCACTCAAATGGCTAAAAGATAATTTTGGCCAGCAAAGAATAACATTGGAGATTGATAATCGAATACTTTTTTAGCTCTTCAAACGACGGAGAATAATACTCCGTATTTCTTATTCCATAGGCTTAGGGGCTGTTTGGCA